TACTCCTGTGGCATTGGAGACTTCAGGCGTTATTGGCCCTCGTTCGATGGCGTTCGATTAAGTGACGAGCCTCGTGAAACGGAGTTGCTCTTTTAGCGTGTCTCACTGGCGATTGTTCGAGGTAATGCTTTCTCCATCATTCCGGCTGGCAGAGGATAGAAAAAAATTGTTTATAGTTACTTTGTTCAAACATTTTTTCAATAAATGAATTTCTCATTTTAATTAAAAAAAATTGTTCGAATGATCGCTATGTTACCTAGACTTTTTGAATTTAAGCCCAGTACTAGACTGGTATCGAGATCCCATCAATCTAGAGTTGAGCTGGCTAGATATAGCCGTAAGTTCTATGCTAACATATTTTTTTCTCGCACTTCTTGCTTGTGGAACTCACTTCTAGTTTCATGCTTTCCAGACAACTTTAATCTGTAAAAAATTTACTTTAATGTCAATCTCTGTCTACTGTCCTCCTGAATGCTCCTTACTCTTTCTACTTATTACTAATGTTTCTGTTCCTAATTCCTCCATACCTTGTAAGCCCTTGACTGTTAGTGTAATGTCAATCGCTATCTACTGTCTTCCTGATGACTCATTCCCCTGCCAGCTCAATATTAATATTTCTGTTGCTTATTCTTCCACACCCTGTAAATTCTTGTATCTTAGTGGCTTTATTGCCTTGCTTTGGGTGATGCTGATTTAAAAAAACAAAAAAAAACAGTAGTCAACACATGAAAAAGGACTAACCAGTAACTGTAAAAAGACGAAATGCAAAATCTGTGCCAAGAAATCGGACTCAAGGTAAGCCTTTTCGAAACCGAAAAAATGATCTGGAAATGGAATTCAGGCAGTCTTGGCACCGCTGTTCGAATCCATCAGAAAAAAATTTCAGAATATGGAATTAATAAAATTAAAACACTTCAAACATGTCGGAGTTGTAACAAATTTAGTATAGGAAATAAATTGAACGCAAGTTAGGTTACAATACGGGTATTTTTCTATAACTGCTGGATGCTTCTTTTATTTACTGTGTCCTTTCAGAACGTGAGTAATAATGACTCTCTAAAGTTTCCTTTCCGTTGTGTCCGTTAACAACGTTTCCCTCCCAGCCAAGCCCTCTTCCCATGTTTCGCCATTCATTCGTCAGGTAGCGGAAATTTCACAATGGCCGATTTGCTGTCTTACATGTTACCAAAGAATAATCGGTCTCGGATTGCTAATAAGCATATCATTTATTTATAAATAATTTCCTTGAAAATGGTATTTCGAGGTTTATTTGGTCTAAAATCGTGTATTTTTTAATACATTTATTTAAAAATTATTTAAATTGACATTTAACAATATAATTATATGAGATAAACAGGTTAGCTAAAATGTATATTTTTAAAAAAATGCGACGATTTAAATTAAAATTATATATAAACATTTGAATAATTCTCATTTAATGTTTTTAATCGTATAACTCTTTCTTTGAAGCAGGGGACCACTAGAATCTGCCATTCGGCATTCAATTTGAAAAATTAGGATATTAGTTACATATATTCATTCCTTTTTTCTGATATTCTGCGATTGATCTCAAAGAATAATCATTCGTAACCTTTCTTGCTTCTTAGTACCTTTGGTTATCCTGTTGAAAAGTCTAACGTTATTGAAATTCTATTTCAGATTAGACACCCCACGGAGATAAAATACAAAATCGACCAGAAGAAGCACGTTCGAGATGTTCTCTCTGCTTTTAAACAAGGCTGCAAAAAAAAAACAAAAACTGGAGATATTTGTGCTGTGGCCGGAGATCACTTCATTACGGACAGAATGGCACAGAAACGGTTTTACCGTTTCAAGGAGTGGGAAGTTCGAACTCACAGAGTCTTCACGTTCTAGCCTACCTGTTCAGTTTGATAAGGACCTATTGCATGTTTTAAAGAAGAACCACGCCAGATCTCAAGGCTGAAGAGATGGCAAACTCTTGTGTTACCGCTGCTTGTCATCTTCACTCAGTGTGTAAGGTCCAGAAACACGGCGCATGTGTGATACACACATTGATTGGGATTCTATCTGATCCATATAAACTACCCCCTAATGTAGCCCTCGACACCGAGTGTCCCCACCCCCGGGACTTCTACAGGGTGAACCTTACTATTAACTAAAAAGTATGCGTTCGTTTCATGTTCTGTGAATGATCTCGAAGAATAATCTTTCGCACCGTTTTTTGTTTCTTAGTAAATCTGGTGATCCTGTGAAACTGTTGTCTAACGTCATTAAAAATTTATTTCCGTTTGAGATGGAATGGTAAGTAGACAAGAATGAGTGAGTCCGACATCATCTCCTCTTTGCTTTTAATCTAGGTTACAAAGCTGCTCGAGGCATTTGTGCTGTGTACAGAGATGACTTCATTATCGACAGAATGGCACAGAAACGGGTTTCCCGTTTCAAGGAAGTACAGTTTGAACTCACATACTCTTCGCGTTCTAGCCGACCTGTTCAGTTTGATAAGGACCAATTGCACGCGCTGTTTAAAGAAGAACCACGCCAGACTACTGGGCCATCTTCACTCAGTGAGTGAGGTTAACCAAAGGGCCAAACAAAACAGACAAGAATGAGTGTCCGACATCATCTTCTCTTTAATTTTAATCAATTCAATCAATTTGAGATGAAATGCCAGCTCGACTAGAATGAACATGTTCGAGACATTTGTGCCGTGTATGGATATGACTTAATTACCGACAGAATAGCACAAAGATGGTCTTCCCGTCTCAAGGAGAAAAAGTTCGAACTCACAGACTCTTCGCATTCTAGCCGACCAGTTCAGTTTGATAAGGGCCAATTGCCTGCGCTGATAAAAGAAGCGCGCCAAGCGACTGGGCCATCTTCACTCAATGAGTGAGGTTAACCAAACGGTCGTTGCTAAAATGCAAGTTGAACAAATAAACAGGTTCAAAGAAGGAA